CCTTTTCCTTTGGTGCTATTGAGATATTGACCAATACGGATCAGGGCCAGCTCATGGCTTCTCTTGGGCTTGAAGGCAAACCTAGCACATTGGCTTACTGCAAAACCCAAATCAGGTCTTGAGTGTCCATACAGATACCACAGCATGCCTATGACACTAGCATAGCTGAAGTCACAGGTGGCTGGGTCTCCATCCTCATCCTTTCCCAGGCACTCGGTGGCAGGTGTATCGACGAAGGGAAGGTCTCCACAGTGCAAAGCCTTGATGATTCGATCAGTGAGGCCTGTCTGCTTCAGACAGATCTTTCCAGAGTGAGTGTCGGTCGTGATATCCACTCCCAGAAATCCTGCCACGCTCTCTTCTTCTTCTAACACCATTTTCCTTTTTCTCAGGGCTTCCAAAACTTCTTGGATGTCCTCTTTGTTTCTAGCATAGAGCAATGTGTCATCCACATAAACTAGACAGATGACTTTCTCCGAAATGAACAGACATGAATCCACTTCAGTTGCTGGAGTGAATCCAACGGCTTGGAGGTTGTTCGAAAGGTGAGTGAACCAATTCTTAGGGCTTTGCCGTAATCCGTAGAGGCTTTTCTTCAGCCTCAAGACCTTTCCTGGTTTGGCATATCCTCTTGGCATGTCAATGTACACTCCCTGACGCTTCTTCTCCATCTCGGACATCAGGTCGAAACCGGGAGGCTTGTCGATGTCGGCGTGGACAAAGGCTGCGGTGTAGTCGACTTGCTGGGTCTCCAGTCCTAGCTGTGCAGTTAGGATGAGTAGCAATCGCACCGTGGTCCAGTTCACTACCGGCGCGTAAGTCTCAAAGAAGTCAACGCCATGGATCTTGCGCAGAACCTAGCTTTGAACTTCTTCACCAGTCCATTCGGAAACTTCTTGATCCGAAAGGCCCAGGTTCCAGGTAGCTAACACATTCATCCAGCTCTTCCTGTCAACTTCTTCCCAAACATCCATTGTCTCCAATGTGTCGTACTCTTTGTCCATGGCTTCCCAGAATCCCTTCGAGTTGGGACCAGTGGTTGCTTCATGGAAATTGGGAGTGTCCTCATCATTGGCCTTGGCTGCCAAAGCTAGAGGGTCCCATTCTTCTATAGTACCTTGGTAGGGGTCCCAAGTGGACATCATTGCTGCTAGGGCTTTCCTGGTGGAGACACGTCTCAAGGATTCCAAACAGGTATCCCAAGTCATGCCCATCAGGCTGGCCATTTCCAAATCTTGCTTCTTGACTTTGGAACTTCCCGACTGGTTTGCTGTGAACATTGAATGTCCAGGAGCGTACCGATCAGGGTGCCTCTCAACTTTAGCATGGTAACCGGCAGCAGTGCCAGCCAGCATGGCTGCAGGAGATGGCGGTTCAGGAACAGCTAAGTCAGCGAATCTAGGGTTTGCTCGAGAAACCCTTCCAGATCTTGTCCTAACAGGCTCCTGTTCGTCTTCTTCTCCCTCAGACTCTGAGTCCGATAGGTCCACGTCCGTCTCCTCTCCCTCTGGAACAGAGGAATCAGAGTCAGAGCGTTTGAACTCACGGTAGAAATCTGTGTCCCCTTCAACTTGATCAAGGGTCTTGGAAATGCTATCCTTGACCAATAGGGACTCCCAAGTCTCGGGATCAAACTGGGTGTCATCCATGGCGGTAGACACCGTGGAGAACAGTTCATCAAACACCACATGGAATTGGGGGCTGATGAATCCAGTATGGGGGTTCAAGACTCGAGCAACTGTGGGGGAATGTTCGGTTGAAGCACCCAGGTAAATACCTAGACGCGACTTCCGCTTCCATTTGGGCAACTTCTTGCCGTCTTGGAGGGTGGGGTCCAACACGTAGGTTGGGCAACCAAACACACGGGCTTGTTGAAGCACATCAGCGTTGGGAAGCTTGGTCTTGGTGAAGAGCTCAAGCGGGCACAGGTCATCTCGGGTCCTTGGGGTATGGTTCCAGATGTGTACCGCTTGCTTGAGAGCGAAAGGCCAGAGGTCAGCTTCGAAGGAATCAGGCCAATGAATTAACATATGAATCATCATGGCTCGAGCCATTCGAAAGACTGTCTGCTGGGCTCTCTCTGCCACACCATTCTGGTGGTGTGCGCCAACTCCACTAAAGGTCAGTGTTTGCTCCCTCAGAGCAATGTCGTCGCGGAATGCAGCAGAGCCGAACGGATGGTTGTCTGCGTGGTATCCCTTGACACTGAGACCGAATTGCTTGCAGAACGCTTCTAACTCGTGCTTGCCTTGAATCGCCTCCACAGTCGCCAGCGAAGTTTGCAGATGAATCCATATGTAGCCAGTTGCATGGTCCACAAAGATAGATCCACATTTAAACTTGTCATCATCAGACTCCTTGCCGGCCGTGTGTTCTCGTCGTCCGAGAATTGGGCTGTCAAAGTTGTCAATCGAGATCATCTCCGCTGGTTGCAACTGCTTCCGAATGGGTCTCTTGTTGGAGTGACCCCCTCGTCTAACATTTGCTTCGGGTGTGCGTCTAGTCTGCTTGGACAGTTGGCAGGCTGGACACTTGGGTGGCTCCACAGTTCGGGTTCTGGGGAGTTTGGTTGGTAGAATCGGTGGGAATGGGGTATCGATGAAGTCACCTTTGACAGGAAACATCAGATCCTGTATGTGATGATGACCTATATGACATAAACGGTAATGCCACAGGTTCAGCTCCTTCGAGTTCCCGCAGAGATTCATGTTCATGGGATCCAAAAGCTTGGCACATTGGGTAAGAAAGTCTCCACTGCTGAGATGGAAGGTGGTATGCCGACATAAACCAGCAGTCGGTACCCAGTCTTGTAGCATCAAAGGTAAGTTGCTCCCTTTGTCATAAGGAAATTCACCCTTGGCTCCATCTGCAGTGGTAACGGTAACTTTGTTCTTTTCCAACAGTACACTTCCACCATCTTGTTCTTGGAAGTACTTCTGGGGACTGAACAGCCTAATCTTGGCACTAGGGACGTAGTAAGCCTCGGTTTGGATTATCACAATCCGACCATACACATCCCTTATGCGCCACTCAACCAGCCCTTTGCCTTTCACGGCTACTGTGTTGCCTATTCCTTGTAGTTCCTCAGTTTTGCACGGCTCAATGGGACGGATGAAGTCCTCAGGGAACGGTGTTAGAGACAAGGAACAGCCAGAATCAATCACAATAGGTACGTGCCAATTGCTTTGAGCCTTCTCCATGTTGTAAGCGCCCATACGGTCATGATCCAAAGGCCTTTGGACCTTGATGTTGAGCTCTTCCAACACTCTTGCTTTTTATAGTAAGCGTACATGCTTTGTTCCTCAGTTCCTCTGGAGGTAAACATGTGGTCAGTTATCAAACGCTCTTGGTGGAACCACTCGATCGGATCGAGGTTGTCCAACAGAGCTGTGACCTTACACTTCTTGAACTGTCTCTTAAATTCTCTTGGTTTGGGTTTGTCTTGGGATGGCCTAGTCACGAAATCAAACAAGTCTTCATAACCTCCCACGACAACGCTTTGTGGCAGCTTGAAGCCTGGGGTTTCATACCAGAACTTCTTCTGTCTAGGTCCTACCAGTCGACACATCTTTGGATAAGGGACTGGTGACTTGCAATAGAACTTCGTCTTGTGATTCTCTTGTCTTGGTTGCATGCGAGCAGCATCACAATATTGACTGCATTGCCTTCGTTGTCTCCTAAAGGACTTCAGTCTGAAATGAGCATGAACTGACCAGCTTGTGGTTCCAGTATCACACTTGTCTTGCTGTCTCACAGGACGTCTCCTTCGTGAGGCAGTGGTAGAGGCCTTTCGGGCTCTACTCTTCGGTCGCTTCAGCTTCTGGCTGAGACTCCAAGCCCTAAGGTGATAGGTGTCTTTCTGTTTCACCTTGGCCTGAGCTGCAGAAGCTCGCAAGGAGCGCTTGAGGCGCACCTTGGCTTTCAAACGGATACGCCATCCCAAATCAGTTGGGACGATACCCTGATAGTAATACACAATCCGTAACGAACCCATCCATAAGACCCTAAAGCGGACATCATTGCATCCATATGGTAACCTGTGCCGGTGACTGCACAACCAGTCGAAGTAGGTCCACCAATCCCATCCCCCTGTCACCAAACGAGGTAACAATTGGACGAAGAAAGGTAGATGAACCAGCATGGTAAGATGAGGGTCTTGGAAGTCCCAGTAACGAGGCAGCGTCAACCACCCAGGGGGTGGTGTCATTGCGCCTTCGTAGACTCGAACGACAGCTTGAAGGATAAGAACGGCAGGGAAAAGTGTGGTGTAGGATCCAACCACCACCAAATCAAAAGGTGGGGGGATGGTCTGGACCAAGGTGGGGGCCCATTGGAATGGGTGCACGAATGCAGCCAGACCGCAGAGCCCTACCACGATGTGGGACCAGGAACGCATCCAGGAGTCCAACACACTGAGAAATCACTGGAAACTGGCTTGGACCTTAGCCAGACTGATCTGAATCCGGGCAACTTCAGAAGCCCTGTCAGTTCCAGTGGCAGGAGGAGGGGTGGAATCAGGATTGGAAGCATCAGCTGCTTGAAGGGCAGATGCCTACGAACTGAGGTCGATGTGAAGGATGACATGGTGGGGAGTTCGATGTAAAAGTATGAACTAAAATAGAGGGGAATTACGCTACGAGGTAGATCGTCATTAGGGTTGAGGTTGATCTCGATGTGCAAACGCGATCACATCTCACACGCCGGGCTATGGACAGAGCAAGGAGGACGAGGATGATGGCATCATAGCTCGCCACTGTGACATCTGTCACCTCAAACCATGCCTTGCCACTGCTTGGGACCAGAAGATTCGTGATAGCTGCCACAAGCACTTGATAGCTGACAAGAGAACTATCAATTTCACAAAAAAGGCTGTGGCAAAGATGCTTCAAAGGAACACTGCAGGCTTTTCATGATTCATGAAAAGGTGCCGCATCAAGTATCCCATCCCAGTTTGCATTGTTTCAACCTCGGAACTGAAAGTAGATGTGTATGGGAAGAGGATGCTTGACGATGAAGCTAATATGGAATCAAGTGATGAAGATGAAATGGTTGGTGGGGACTTGGAGGAGTTGAAAGTCGGCTTGTATGGTAATAAGAAACTGTCGTGCAAAGATGACAGCAGCGATGATAGCAGCGAAGATGAGTCAGAATCAGATGAGAGAGGAGGGAGAATGCAGAGAGAGGACCAAGTATATGAAATTGTCTTGGATTCCTCGGATGAGGAGGGCGACGAAGAGCTGTACCGTCCTGTATTCCCGAAACAATCTGAGATGGAAAAGGGGGTCAAAAAACAAACTGCTCCTCCTGCCACAAAAGCAAACAGGGTCTCTATTGGAAGTGTCAATAATAAACTGGAGGCTAAGGAAGGCAACAATAAAGCAGAAAGTCTGTCGTCCTGCTCATCCGATGACGACGAAATGGAGTTCACCATGAAGTTATGTGAAGGGAGAACTAACAATGAGTAGAAGAGTTCATAGTAGTATAAGTAGACAAAAACCATGTTATTCTCTTTTTCTTTTTTATCTATCTATCTCTATCTATTCTATCTATCTATATCTATCTATCTATTCTATCTATCTATCTATCTATCTATTCTATCTATCTATCTATCTATCTATCTATCTATCTATTCTATCTATCTATCTATCTATCTATTTATCTATCTATCTATCTATTTATCTATTATCTATCTATCTATCTATCTATCTATCTATCATCTATCTTATCTATCTATCTATCTTCTATCTATCTATCTATCTATCTATCTATCTATCTACTATCTATCTATCTATCTATCTATCTTCTATCTATCTATCTATCTATCTATCTATCTATTTCTATCTATCTATCTATCTTTCGAACTCTCTCTCTCTCTTTTTGTCATTTTAGGTTTTGGAGTCTCATCAGGGAGGCACTTACAGATATTCTGGAAGTCTGGTGTGTAAAACTGTCGCAGTGGCATCTCCATCGTTATGGTACTCAGTTCCATAGTCTTTGCTATAACGACCCTAGGGGGAGCCACTGACGAGCATGGAATTTTGTAATAAATTTATTTTATTGAAAGGAAAAGGTTAGAGATAAAAAAAGATAAAGCGGTGGAAACCTGCATGCTAGTCTAGCTAGCGAGATAGAGCCACATGCCACATGTCGTGTTGACAAAGAACAATCCTACTATTTTACTATAGATTCGCACAGTGGTTTGCATGAACGGTACATAATTCCTTTTCACAGGTCTATGCAGCATTGGGCAAATCGTGATTTCGTAGATTGGTACAGTACTTCGTACAGTAAACGTGTCTATGCAGGATAGTACATAGAAGACAGTTCGTATCCTGCACAGGCTTATAAAAAGCTAAGCACAATGAGAATTCGTGACTGCACTTGTAGGTAGATTCGTACAGCATAATATATAGTAAAACATACAACAGGTGCAAAAGCACTTTTATGCAGGATTCGAACTATCGACCTTATATCTCCTGTTAACCAGTAAAAATCGTTTCCTGCACAGGGTTAAGTACAGGTGACAGTTGAAACATGCATCGAATGTTCTTTCATGTTCCGTGTAATCGCCAAACAGAACACGAATCCTGCATAGAGCGAATACGTATAGTAAAAGAGTACAAAAGCGTGACTGCACATCTTGGTTTATTCATACAGTACTTTGTATAGTAAATGTGTCTAAGGGGTGCAAAGGCGTGCTTATGCAGGATTCGAGTTTTTGAGCCTATATCTTTCTCCTACCCAGTAAGAATAGGACATTTCGCTATCCTGCACAGGCATTAATAAAGCGTCCTGAAAGATATAAGCCAAACTTTCGAATCATGCATTGAATAGTTGCGTATAGTAATAGTGTACTTTTCAATAGTTCTGGACACATGCCATACTCTCATATGGCGTAATTAAAAGAAGAAATCGTGTAGAATATTTACAATCCATTGTACAGACGTATAGTAAAATAGTAGTATTTTGGTTTGTGTTCATCAAATCTTACTCCTGCGTGTTTGTCTATTGCACTAGTTTTTGTGTAGCCTTGGTAGAAAAGGCTTAAATAAATGCTTCATTAATAAGTTGGTTAGAGGCTGAGCATAAATTCCTCAGTGTCAAACGTTTTCTCTGTGGGCTCCTTCTCGTCACCAAGCCCATTTTTGCTTGCGTCAGTCTCCTCTGCATCAACCCTTTTCTTGGCGGGCTTCTTCTTATCATCAAGACCATCGTGGCTCCCGTCGGTGTCATCGAAATTGGAATCCTCGGACTCCTTCTTTCCCTTCTCCTCTACCTTATTCTCATTGTCTTTTTCTTCCTCGTCATCAGCCCCTTCTTCCTTTTCTTGCAGTTTGGTGTAATCATGGGGGTGGATGAGCCGGAGGTATCGTTCAATGTTCTGGTGGAGGTCCTTATCCTGTGAATTGAAGAAGGAATCATAGTGGAAGTGGGGGTGGATACGTGCCATACTGCTTTGCAAAAGACCAGACTCCCCGAGCATCTCACTGGGATCAAAAGAGTCAGTGTCTTTTGGTACCAGTATGATCATCACTCGGAGGTGTCGGTTCCCCTCAACATGGGTGATGTATCCGGCCTCTCACCTCACGGAGGTGACATGGGACCGACAAGCTCAATGTGACTCGCATTGACCTCCTTCAAGTCTGTGTCAAGGTACTGTGGCGGTTCTGCTTGATCAAAGCATGGTAGTCCTTGATAAGCACTCCTTTCCGACTGCTTGTGGAGGGCTGTCTGGAGGCACCAGCTACGAAGTTCAAAATGTTTTTTCTGCCTTGATCGTTGGTGAGCTTTTTATACCCAAGGAGAGTACATAGAGCTGACTCCTCCGTCCGAACTCTTGGTATGCTCTTGCAACACGGAGCGACTTTGCAGCGGACTGTAAGGCAGCATTGATCCCGTGAAAACACTGTATCGTGCGATAGTCGGATGGACTGAATAGATCTGGTTCTTGGCAAGAATCTGAATTACAGACAACATATCTTTTGGGACCTCCACAATGTGCATGTCCATGTCGTGTTCTGTGTTCCAAAAACTGGCGGGCTCCTGTAACATCATCCAATCCAGCAGCTGCCGCCTCCTGGCCTTTGCAGCTCACCACTTTTCTGCCGGTGGTCTCATCGCTGTCATCCAAGTACTTCAGTTTCGATGAGAGAATCAAGAAGGAGGAAGGGTATCCATAGACCCGCAAGATGGGTGCCAGCATTTTTTGGAATGTTTTCTCGGTGAGGGTAAAGGAAGCAGTGTCTGTGACCAAGTCGCCAACGACCCAGTGCCGGTACAGGGTGGATATATCATGTCCCATTTTGGAGGCATATCCAATCTTTGTGGTCACCTGTTCCTTTTCGTCGAGCTCCACAATCATTCTGAAAATGAGGTTGCGAATGGAGGTTTGGCGCACGCATGCATGGTGGTATGATGCCACTGAGTAAAGGTTGCCGGGGCGTGGGTTCTTCAAAATCTCTTCATTGCTTTGGTTCTTTGCAAAAACGGATGTGTTCATCATACGGTGTGCACGGGCGGACATCCCATGATGGGTGGGGTGCTTAGACAACAGAAAGGCCACAAATTTGTGACAGATTGGCCCCATGCCACAAAGGTAGCCGAAACACTGGTAGGAAAGAGTCCCTTGTGATGCATAACCAATCAAATAGTACTTGTCCTGACACTGATGAATTTATGCTCAGTCTCTCACACGCTTATTAATGAAGCATTTATTTGATCCAAGCGAACTGGAAACGCCCTTTCAGGACGCACACTGACTCTCAAATTAGTACTGTTTACCCTATAGTAAATCTGCCGTTTTTAATAACACAGGTAAAGGAAAGGTCCACCATGGCGCCTTCTGGCTCCTTTCGACGCTGTTCAAGTCCAGCAACAACTGTCTCGACCATGAAGACCTCTTGTAGACCACCCACTCGAGGTAGCCAACCATTGGATCCAACTGAATCGACCTTAAAACTGCCGAAAACAAGCCCCAACAGCCAGCGAGATCTTGGAAAAGACCCATCTTTTGGCGGCGATTATGCCACCAGATCTGACCGGAATGGACCAAATGATGTATTCTCGGAGATCCTACCAAGCAAGAAAACAACATCGATGCAACAAGCGAAACTCCACGGTGCCAAGCTATCATCGCCAAGAACGCAACCAACCCATTCCAATAGATTTTCGGCCCTTGTTGAATGCAATGATCAGTGGCTCCTGCAATTCCAGCACGACAGTGATAACGAATCCCTTGATACCCTCGATACAACCGGCTCTGACTCTATTGCGGAGACCAAGATCGATGACACAAAGAAGACACCACCTAGGATGAACAAGAACTCCTCTCACAGCACCAGCGAAACCGCAACTAAGCGCCACCCCTCAGTTAGAGCCAACAAACATCGAAAAATTATTCAACCAGATCCTCTTCCATTGCCCCCGATACTTGTCATCTCGTCAAGCCAACAGTCTCCAGTATCCTGGGAACCAGGCGTCCAGCCAACCAGCGTTACGAGGAAACAGCAGAGACGCAAGAAACAACACAAGCAAACGCAACGATGATCGACCACTATCGATATCTCCGATGAGGCAGCCTGGCCACACTTACATCAAGAATCGAAACTCCAACAAAACAGTACTGTACCTGCAGACGCATTAGGCTGATGGAAATCTACTGATCCTTCCACCGCTCAGATCGCAACCGGATTGATGCACACTATCGAATCCGCTCACAAACCAAAGGATTATGGACCGACACAAACCACAGGAAAACACGGTGTTGCAACAACTGAACATCCGTATAGCACTGCGACCCATCGAGACAGTAGGAAAGCTTCTGACTCCAACAATGATGAGCCAATTCAACCGAGAAACAATGGCCATGATGACATTCCAACGCAGAGATTCGTCGACATCGCAAGTGGAAAGCCAACGCCTCTGGTGATGACACGAAAACCAGAAAAGACCAGCAAGGGAAACAACAACACTACCACCGCTATTACATCTAATAAGAAATCTAAGTATCACCTGAAGCAATCGATCCAACGATATCTGAATGACAAATCATCAACGAACTCGGTTGACTCCACGACGATCGTCAATCACACTACAACATACGAGGGCACCACTAAACTCGCGACCGATCGGCCTATTGTTTTGCCACTTGCTGCTGTGCCAAACAGCGTCCATATTGAGAGCATGGCACCGATCCACAGCTTAAACATTGACAGAAGCGACAGCAGGAAACAAGATGTCCTTGCTGATGGCATCGACTCGACAACAAAGAATACCTCCACGTCGTTTACTCCTGTCAACGGAACTGCTGAGGATCCTGTCGACTTGCTTACTCCGACAACCACAAACATGCAAGAACTGATCCCAAAGACAATGCCTCTGTGGTGTCTCCAGTGTAATGAGCCGGCTTCTCCTGTGGAACTCATTGACTCCAAGCATACTCGGTCCAAGATGACAGATTGCTCAC